TCCTGGAGGCAGCCGACACCAACTAGGTTCCTGGAGAACGAGGGGATATGCAGACCGGTGAGCGAACCTGAAGGAACCGCCGGACAGGGAAGGGAGGTGGAACTGCGGGCAAAGACGGGACCACCGGAGGGGTCAGCAAGAGTAACTGCAGCAGGAACAGGCAGCGGCGTCAGCGTCGTGGAGTCGCGGAAGAAACACCGGGAGGCGCCAGAGTCCAAGGTGAAGGAAAGCGCAGCAGTCGCGCGGGGCGACAGTGAAGCGGTGGAAGCACCGAGGCTAAGCAAAGCAGGAGATCCTACGCCTGACGCAGCAGGGGAGTCTACGCTAGGCACAGCTACACTAGGCAACACGGGGTAATAAGAGGGAAGCACACTAGAGTCATCGGCATACATCACATGCAAGGCTGCTACAATGGCATCCATGTCCAAGTCAAAAATCCGAATGCTACGCCTAAGCAAGCTGTGCCAGTCCGGGAGGTCGGGCGCCGGGCCAAAGCGCTGGCGGAACAGGTCGTCCAGACGACGAAAACAGCGAGGAGTGGAATGACCGATCTTACCGCAAACGAAGCCGCGGCGAGGACCGGTCTGGATCTGGTACTGACAGGGCCCGCCTCCAGAACCACCACCCGGTGCACCACCACGCGCACGACCACCACCAGCTCCAGGCCACCCAGGCGGGAGAGCACTCGCCGGCCTCGTCTGCGGCGGCTGCTGCGGCTGCTGCGGAGGCTGCTGCTACTGCGGCTGCTGCAACGGTGGAGGCAGCGGGGCAGCTGGACCGGGCAGGGTCCCCACGTCCGCACCGGCACCGGACGACCCGCCTCCACCACTACCCCCACCCGCACCCCCGCCACCTCCGCCGCTCCCAACCTTGGGGCGGCGGCCCTTCCCCGAGCGGGACTGCACTGCAGCAGCAGTCTCAGCCACAGCGACAGAGCCCTCGGAGAAGGTACACTGAGCGGGGGCACAACCCTGAAAGATAGGGACCGGTACTGTACCGCTCGCCTGGGCTATGGAGCGGTGACGAGTCTCTATGGCAGTCAGGGTGTCAACAAAGTCGGTGAGGGTGAGAGCAGCAGGGTGGATGCTAAGGAACTGGTCGCGGGCGGCGGCAAGGCGGTCAGGGAGGCGGGTGGCAAGGAGGTAGAGGGTAGAGGTCATGGGAGGCTGGTGGACTCTAAGCTGTGCATCAGTGCAGGCAGCGCGCCAGGCCTCATCTATCGAGCGCAGGTGGGCAGCGAGGTCAGAGACAGTGGGGAAGGACGCCAGGTCAGGAAAGAGCAGGGGGAGGATCAGGCGACCCACTGAGGCAGCAGGAGGGGTAGAATAGCGCTTGATGACAGCATCGAGGTAGGCCTGGGCGGTAGTAATGGTTCTAAAGCGAGGGCGCTCAAGGGGGGGGAGGGCATTGCTAATGGCGAGCTGAGCAAGGGCATCGCGGGAAAGCCAGACAGAGCGGGCAAGGGCAGCGGCGGCAGTGGACTCGCGCTCAGCGGGCGTGGGATCAGCAGGCAGCACAGCAGGGGGGTCAGGGCAGGGGAGCATACCGTCTAGGTGTGCAGAAAGCGGGTGGCCGTCCTGCCGCTGACCAGTGAGGTGGCGGCGAAGGTCAGCCAACCACGCCTCGAACTCCAGAGGCTGACCCTCAGCATCAAAACGAAGCTCAGCAGCCATGAGGGGCAGTGGAGGACAGTGGAGTGCGGTGTAGTGCTGTGCAGTGCGGTGCAGGGCGGTGCAGTGCGGTCCAGTGCGGTGCAGTGCGATGCAGTGCGGTGCAGTGCGGTTCAGTGCGGTGCAGTGCGGTCAGTGCGGTTCAGTGAGGTGCAATGCGGTGCAAGGCGGGGCAGGAAAGTGCAGGAGGGTGCAAAGTGGTGCGGGGAACGGGGGACAGTACCAGGAAGTATGGAGGGCCGGGGCAGGCGCGACGGGGCCGGGCAGGCGCGACGGGGCCGGGCAGGCGCGACGGGGCCGGGCGGCTGCGACGGGGCCGGGCGGCTGCGACGGGGCCGGGCGGCAGCGACAAGGCCGGGCGGCAGCTACGAGGCCGGGCGGCTGCGACGGGGCCGGGCGGCTGCGACGGGGCCGGGCGGCAGCGACAAGGCCGGGCGGCAGCTACGAGGCCGGGCGGCAGCGACAGGGCCGGGCGGCAGCTACGAGGCCGGGCGGCAGCGACAGGGCCGGGCGGCAGCGACGGGGCCGGGCAGGACACAGCAGGGCCGGGCGGGGGCGACGGGGCCGGGCGGGCGCGACGGGGCCGGGCAGGTGCGACAGGGGCCGGGCAGCTGCGACAGGGGCAGGGCGGGCGCCACGGGGCCGAGAGGCCGCGACAGGGCCGAGCTGGGGCGACGGGGCCGAGCAGGGGCGACGGGGCCGAGCAGGGGCGACGGGGCCCAGGAGGGTGGATACGGGGCCCAGGGAGGAGCGCGGCAGGGCCCAGGAGGGGCGCAACAGGCCCAGGAGGGGCGCTACGGGCCCAGGAGGGGCGCAATGGGGGCCCAGGAGGGGCGCGGCGGGGCCCAGGAGGGGCGCAATGGGGGGGGGGCCAGGAGGGGCGCTACGGGCCCAGGAGGGGCACTACGGGCCTAGGAGGGGCGCGACGGGGCTTGGGAGGGGCACGACGGGGCCCAGGAGGGGCACTACAGGGCCCAGGGAGGGCGCGACGGGTCCCAGTAGGGGCGCTACGGAGCCCAGGAGGGGCGCGACGGGGCCTGGGAGGGGCGTTACGAAGCCCAGGAGGGGCGCTACGAAGCCCAGGAGGGGCGCGACGAGGCCCAGGAGGGGCGCTAAGGGGCGCGACGGGGCCCTGGAGGGGCGCTACGGGGCCCAGGAGGGGCGCGAAGGGGCGCGACGCGGCCCTGGAGGGGCGCTACGGGGCCCAGGAGGGGCGCTAGGGGGCGCGACGGGGCCCTGGAGGGGCGCTACAGAGCCCTGGAGGGGCGCGACGGGGGCCTGGAGGGGCGTTACGAAGCCCTGGAAGGGGGGCGCGACGGGGCCTGGAGGGGCGCTACGAGGCCCTGGAAGGGGCGCGACGGGGCTAGGGGGAGGGGTCGCGACTGGGCTCAGGAGGGGCGAGGCGAGGCTAGGAGACGCGACGGGAGGAGCGGAAGCGGTAGGTGGGGGGGGGGGGGGGGGGGGGTCGAAACCTACTCGTGATACCATATCAAACCTAGAATTCAATAATGTGAGAGAGAGAGTACACAAACATATACCTAAATGTTGTACTCTCTAGAAGGTGACCCTATACAGTCTATAGAAACATGATAACTACACATGTTTGACAATTTACTCTTAGTCCAATGCAACTTTAAAAAAAACTGAAATCCTATCTCCTAGTTGCCAAATCAGTTTTTTTTTAAGACGCCCTAATGAAAAGGCAATTTTTTGCTAGGAAACTCTGATGAATCCACGTAAATTTTCTTGACGAATAGCTGATGAATCATGGTACCCTAAAACCAGTCGTGGGGCCTGGTGTGAACACTGGAAATATAAGATTTCGACTTGGGCGCAGGACTCTGAGTCGACATTCTGAACCCTGAGTATTTCAGACTCGTTGACTTTTGGACACTGAGATTTCAGAGTAGCGAAATTTCGAAAAATGGCCCTTCAGACTCGGGAATTTTGGGGGGGGGGGCAAAATCAGAGTGCCTTTTTTTGAAACGTCAGCCCTGTCCGTCGGCATCGGAAGCGCTACACCACCAGCATCCTTCCGCCCCCTTCCCCGATAGGGACTGCTCCCCTATCGGAACCTAGATGGTCAGAATCGTGGCTATGATACCAACTGTTATGAAATATCTCAAAGTAAAGCTCAGAATTCTTTAGGGGAGAGTGACTACAATATGTTCATACAAATGAGGACCTAGGGCTTATATAGTGCGAGTTGAGCAGGTTGAACCTCGAGAGTTGGACCAGTCAAAGGGCTCCGTAGTTCCGAGGGCGACGGGGTCAAATTGGGTTCGGGTCGCCTTAGCATCACGTTTGAGGCCGAATAGGTTGGCAGGGGTGGTTTGACGCGAGTCTTGAGGGCCGAGGCTGCGGACGCGCTCTGTTCGCGGTACTCGCTGTGGCAGAACCCGGTAAAGATTCGTGAAATCCTTACAACGACCCCTGTATGGGTGAAGGTGGGTCATGTGCTGCTTGATTCCGCCAAACGTCATAAACTGTCTGACCTGATTTCCTTTCCACGTGGAAGGGACCTCGTGCTTGGTTGGCTGATGCCCCAGGTTGAACCTGCCAAGCCACGAGCCAAAACCAGGTCCAGGTCAGTATCGGCCAATGGCCGTCGCGGACAGCTCCGCGTCACTGTAAATGCCTCCGCCACATAAGCACATGAACAGTTACCATCACACCTTAGCACTGTGCATCGCACGGGCCACAGCGAAAATCCAGCCGAACAAACGACCTCACCACCAGCCCTGCTGCCTTCCCTCCCCCCCTCCCCCCCCTCCCCCCCCGTGTTGGGGGAAGGGGTGTGTGAAGTTGTGAACTGAACGTGTAGAGTGAAGTCACCAATTTGGGCACTTCTGTACCGTTATTCATGCATATATTAACGCATCGAACCGTCCCCCTGCACCTATCTCCTCCCACCTTTCCCACCGAACTCCTCCCTTTCCCGAATCATCATCACCACGCGAAGCATGGACCAAAAGAGAGCGCGCACATTCAGCCCTCGCATCACCCCCCGTCACGTCACGACTCACGACTCTCACCCACCCACCACCCACCACCCACCACCACCATTTCCCCGCCGTACACGCACGTGGGATCCGCTGCATCCCAACAACTGCACCCACATTCCCCCAGGCCTCCGCTGGATCGCGTGCGGCTCCCCCGCCACCTTCACCCGCTTGACCGCGGGACAATATTTCCTTCACCAGGGCATGTTCCAAACCCAACCAGTCCATTTCCTTCTATACCTCAATCAACCGTGAGGTAACGTTTTTTACTGCTCCTGATCGCAAAAATACTTACTGAACCGAAATCTGACATACAAGTAGTAGTTGCATCAAGCCCAGTAAGAATTCGGCGTGCAGTAAGCATTCCCCTAGATAAGGCACCACCCACTTCTGCTTTTCCATGGATGTTATGCGACCAAGTCGATCAAGATTCTAAGCAACTTTCACCTCATTGTTCTTTTTGCCTCCAAGAAAGCCCTCCTCACCCCGCCAGCGACCTTGGATTATAATAACGAGCAGGCCGAACTTAGGCTATCATAGGATTGGCCGCAATTTCCAGTGAATGGCGAGCAAGAGTTGTGCTGTGGCAGCCCGTAGCATAAACATGAACAATCTTGGAGCACCGCTGGGACGTTATGGAGAAAACGACAAAGACGCGTTTGCGAATCCACCTTCGAAGAAAGCATGGGAAGGTAAGCTCCCTTTCAAAGCTCTGCGATCTGCTTCCGTCGCGTTTTCAGTATCATGCTGCAGAGCTGGCTACTTATGCCGCATTTGCTGATGCAATACCCCTCTGACAACCGCGCCCCGTGAGCCCAATATGAAATGCTAAGATGATATACGTGATACATAGTGGAGGTCGATGCGTCGCTCACAACTTCCTGCAACCTCCATTTCTCAGAGCTCCTCCATTCCCTTGCTCCTCTCTCCTTTCCCCACAGACATCGAACGGTCGTGCGCGCTGATGGACTCGAGCAACCTGCAGATCGACGGCATAGATCTCACGGATCTTCTCGAGGACGATTCCGAGCCTCAACCCGAAGACGCCAACTCACTATCTGGCGTGGACCAATCGTCAGAGCGGCTTCGAGCTGCTTCCGCTGCTCTCGCCGCATTACACGTGTCCCCGGATCATTCCGCTCCTCATGCCGCTGCCACCGCGGGACAGCCATACGGAGGAAGCTTCAAGGAACGCTCCGCGCAGCGTTCTATGGTTGGCTCTCCGCCGCCGCCTAATGCGGTGCTGCGCGGTTCTGTGGATCCTTTCCTGACGAAGTACCGGCTAGATACGCACCAGACGAGCCATAGCTTTGGCGGAACCCCCTCTACGGCCGAAGGGCTTCCCTACAGCGGCCCAAATAGCAGCAGCAGCTACAGCGCTTCGGGCCTTGGATGGAACGGCGGCGGTAACCCTGTTACCAGCCCGACCCGGAGTGATAAGAACGGCAGCCCGAGCGGGAGTCCCAGCACCCTGCGGACTAGGTTCGGGATGGCCAAACCTCAAACCTCCGTAGCCGAAGCAGGTTCGGTGGCTAGTGAGCGGACGGGGGAGAGGGGAGAGGCGTCCGATGGCGGGAGGGATGGGGGGATGGAGGGGGGTGCAGACAGGAAGTGGAATGCGCATGAGATGGCAATAGCAGGGTCACCTGTGAGGAACGCTGCACTGTCGATACGAGTGAGGGCTGGAGCCAACCCGGCTGCTGTGGAGGCTTACTTGAGGATCAAGGCGCAGCGAGAAGGGATGACTGCTGCTAGGGTTGTGCGGAAGTAAATTTCGCAGTGGGAATGAGTTTGTGTGGCAGTGAAGTTTCGTACTGGCTCCTGTCTGTAAATAAAATAATGGACTTCTGTCATGTATTCTAATCAACTCGTGACGAATGGTTAGGCATCTCGTGAATGCAGGAAAGAAGTCTACCATTTGTTGCTGCTGAATAAATCTGGTTGAGTCCACACAAAAGGATAGATAAGCATTTCAATCTGTTGTGAACTACACATCATCAGCATAGACAACTCTTACTACCATTTATGTACCATTTACTCATGCTGAAGGAAGGCTACCGTACTATCTACCTGCCAGCAACAGCAGCAATCGCGGGACTAGAGCGGGCAGCAGGCGTAGGCGCACGTGTCCCCCCCTGCTGCGCTGTCCGCTTGAAATAAAGTTCGACCGCAGCGGGATTTGCTCCCGCGACCACCTTCACTCCACGATTTGCCGCTTTAAGACTGTCCTGAAACTCCTTCGCAGGCGCAGCTGGCGAAATGGTCACTCCAGCAGAGGTATCGTCGCGAGGACTGGATTCGCTGCTGGTAACAGAAGTTACAGAGCGAGAACGACCGGCCACCAGCAACAGAGGGCTGGTAGGTGACTCTTGCCTGCTGCCGCTGCTTCCGCCGCCGCTGCCGCTGTTACTTGACTTAACGGGAGCCATACTACCAGAAACCGCGGCGGGCCTGTATGACTGCAGTGGGCTCTTGCTGGCGCTGCTGCTTCGAAAAGCAGTATGGTTCTGAGTGTTGGCCGACGCTCCGCCGGGGCTGTTTGCCGCGCCGCCGACATTTGCGCCACCGCTGATTGTCGCGCCAGAGCGCGACACTGCGAAGTTTCCGCCGATGGGCCAGCGGTTGCGCGCCGAGCCGTTCCGGGGGCGCACGCCGCCGCGCGCCGACTCTGCGTTAAAGCGACCAAGGGGACGATACGAATGGGGAGCTTTGAGGGTAGAACAACTTGTTCTTTGAAAGAAGATGTCCGTTTTTTTAATCCAACCGCGCTTGGAAGGTAGCGCTACTAGGAGGAAACATGCGAGCCACGTCCAGTAGAGCTGTCTGCGGCGACGATTATCAGCAGAAGCACGCTCACCCGAGGCACGGTCAACCATCGGCTGCGACTCGCTGAAACTCGTCTCAGTAACATGATGCAAGGCACAATAGTAGTGGAGTCGGCTGGACGACGACAAGGGGGAAGCACGCTCACCCGAGGCGCAGTCAACCATCGGCAAAACACGCGAGGCACAGGAGAAGTAGAGTCGGACTGAGTCGTCTGGACGGCGACGATGACGGGAGCAAGCTCACCTGAGGCGCGGTCGACCAAGTGGCCGCTGGAGCGCGCTCCATCGTGGAGGTTGTCTCGTTCTCCGAAGAAACCGCCGTGGCTGGAGCGTGCTTTGTCCCTCTCACACCCCCACATTTCCTCCTCGCCGCGTTTGAAGGCTGATCCCGCGTCGAGCATCGCGAAATGCCGCTCGATCGCCGGGTCGGAAGCAGGGAAGAAGCGCGCCATAGTACTATTACGATACGAGTAACTACTGCAGCTGGTAGTAGCACTAGTTCCTCGCGACGCGTGACGATATTAAGTTGTACTGCTGAAGGATGCAGAAGAGAGGAGCGAAGAGAAAGTGGCGCGTTTCAAAAGACGGAGGCCGACGGGGAAGATTAGCACGGACTGGAATCTCGTCGGACATCGAGGCGTTCCTCGTGTAGGAGGAACGATTTCCGGCGGATAACGAATTACTGTTGAGCAGTCAGTGTCAGGCATTTATTTTTATGGATGAACTGAAGCGCGTTTACACCTTTTTCCTTATTTAGTTCCACGTTTTTTGCGCGCGGCTTGAGCTTGTAAACAGGAAATGGTAAAACACGAACAAACGGGATCTTGAAGGGGAGGACCCACAAGAGACACTGACACTTGGTCACAAATTCTCGCTCATGCACCAGATAAGGTGGCTGCGCGACGTCCCAGCTTTGAAACTCGACATTGTCGAAATTCGACTTGGCTGTTCGCTATCGTTCGGACTGCAGCCAATCAGATTCAGTGTCAACGCGAGTCATGCTGGGAACCTGGTAGGTCGGATTGCAATCTAGACTGTTCCGAGAAAGACAATAGAAGAGAACAGGTGTACCTAAGTCTGAGATCCGTACTGTGCCGCTCATGACGAAGGCTGAGGGCATGTCCCGCGCGTACGTTTGATTACGGTTGGGTGAAATTCTCTGCGAGTCAGAAAAAAAATACAGAGATATAAAACGGTTAAGTAGGGTTTTGTACGTGCGGGACACGGCCTGAGTGAGAACGGAGAGAGTGAGGGAGAGGGAGACTGACTGCTATGCTGCCGTCCGTTTCCCCTGCATGCTGCAAGGGCAGCCACCACTCTTTCGGCCGCTCCTTCCATAACCGCTAGATTATGAAGGAAACATGCAATAAGCAACAAAGCTTCCATTCTTGGCTCGATTACGAGCGACGAATCACAAATCACGCCCCTCGGCGCTAATCCCTGCCTTGGAGTGACGCTCACCCCCCAAACACGCTGGGGGACGATTGAAATTTGAGCCACGTGATTGCTTCGAGCCCCCCAAAATCAGCGGGTTATCGAGCCTGTTATTTTGCCTCGTCGCTGCAAGTGGTGTACAATACCAGCCCAGCTGAGGCAGAGAGGTAAGGGAGGGAGGGGTTCGGTGGTGGCAGTTGAGCCGTTTTCTGACCCAGCGAGTCGCGATGTGGAGAGAATTGCCTTCAAGTTTGCCCGAAGCGATGCTTGTGTGGTTGCCCTTGATGGCCTTGCCAATTGGCTGAGGTCAAGCATCTGGGCTGGGCCCGGAGATTTGGCGGAGCACTGTGGCTTCGTTGGGGTCAATTGTTCCTCAGGTCTTGGATGTAAAGTTTGTCAGCGATTTAAAGTCCAGTCTGGTTACAGCGTTCCCCAGACATTGTGAGGGTGTTGAAGCGCAACTGGTTCCCCAAATTGACAAGCGCGAACCCGAGCTGTACGTTGCTTTGCTTTGGGTTTGTGTTCACTGACACAGACCGTCTTGGCAAGGATAGGGAACAGAACGAAAATCTTCTTCAAGGCCACAGTAAGTCCCTCCCCTCTGAAGATGGATGGTGGTGGTGGCAGGAAAAAGCTCCGCTCCACGTGTAATTGGCCATGCACGCCTTCTGCTGCAGCCAATGGAAGGTTGAAGTTTGCAGATGTGGCAAAAATATGTGATGCTGGGTTGACAAATCATCACAGATATTGGAGGGTGAGAATTTGTGTTCTAACCGAAACTGTAAGGAAAAATCCTTTTCCTTACTGGGCTCAACTACAGCGCGTACGCCTTCGACCCTCGGAAGACCAGGCCCGGCCATTTTCCTCGGTCCCGAACCATTTCGTAAACCCAAACCTAATGCGCAGCGCCTCCGTGGCTTTCGCCCACCGAATCGCCCTAACCTGTTTGCGAGGTTCTCGGCTAGCCCTGTTGTGCCTATAAATGCCTAGGTCCTCATTTGTATTGACAACTCTTGAATCACGACTCTTTTATTACACGACTTGTTATTACTCTGATTAATTCATAACGGCTGGTATCAGAGCCCCGTTCCTGCCCGCTTAGTCTTCCGTAGAGTAGTCCGTTTATATCGAGAGAGGACCCGACATAATAGAGGGTTGGCTAGCGGTTGGTAGGCGAGCTCGTTAAAGCTCCTCCAACTAAAAGCGTGTGCACCCTCAGATCTGTCAGGTAAAATTTCCAGCATGACTAGCACGCCGGAAACCTCTGCCCGTCGTAGTGTTAGGAACGTGAATCAGGAGGAGTTTGACGAGTTGCAAGCCAGGGCGGCTACAGTGACGACACTGCAGGCCCAGCTTCAACAACTCGCGGATAAATTCGAGTCGCCCGGAAGCGAAGTTCAAACGCAGCGCAACGAAAACTCGTCACTTCGCCAGACACTGGGTGAAACGCGTCAGGAGCGGCCTGTTACCCGAGACGAGGATGCTGTGAGCGAAGCGAAGGCGTCGGCGACACCTGAAGCAGTTGAAGAAATCCAAAGCGAACCGCGGGTGGCCATTAAAATCAAGCCTCCCATGCCCCCACCGTTCAACCCGATTGACAGGACGACCACTGTGAGCGGGTGGCTGTTCGCCATGGAAATCTTCATCACGGCAGCAAGTATTAATGACAACGTCTCACGTGTCAACTTGGTTGTGTTGCTGCTGAGGGGACCGGCACTCGACTGGTAGCGCATGCATCTTGACGAGGGAGGAGCTTCGGCAGGGAATCAACGGGTGGCAGCTGGGGAGATGAGTTCATCAACGGCAACGGCAGAACCAATCTTTGGCTCGACCACGATCCGCACGTGGAAAGCGTGGGGCGAAGCGTTGAAAAGCATATTCGATCACATCGAGCAGATTGAAAATGCTCGCACAAAGCTTCGGATGTGGAGACAGTTGGGCCCTGTCCAAGAATACACAGCGTCGTTTCTGGCCATCTGCGACCAAATCGGAGGGATCAGCGAGGACGAGAAAATCGATCGCTACGTGGGCGGACTCAAACCGGAGATTCAACAAGAAATCGTCCTGCGAGCCCCGACGACCTTCAACGAGATTGTTCGCATGGCGGATGCGCTGGACGCGTGACGTGGACTCGCGAGAGCGGGTTTCCGGGAGGGAAATCGCTTTCGAGGCCAGCCCCAACACACATCAATCAACGGCGTGGACGTGTTTGCAGCCCGAGTATTTTCGGGGACCTATTTCCACTGCAACCAGCCGGGTCACATGGTGAGGGACTGCCCGCAGCTGAAGAAGAACTTACCTAACGACAAGAAGCAGTCGGGAAATGGAGATCGTCAGTAGCAGATGGGCCACCTACTGACTTGACTGCGTCGCCCAAACGCCACCACCCCCACCAGGTTATAGTGCCAATTTGGGCTATCGACCATTCCTGGCTGAATAAGGGGGGTGAACCGGTTGACCATCCTGTGCTTGTTAAAGGAAGAGTTGATGATACCCACATAAAAATATTTGTTGATGGCAGGGCAAGCCACAGTTTAATGGATGTGACGAAAGCGAAAAAAATTGCGACTGCAACTGGAGCGGTGTCTGCCTGAAATCGACGCGCGATTAGTCGATGACACACCCCTGGCAATTCGGGAGCGAGTACCTCACGTACGAGTTACATGCGGTGAAAATTTCAGCTTTACAACGAAGATGCTGGCGACAACGTTGGACGGCTTCGACATGCTGTTGGGACGCGATTGGCTGCGCGAGTACAACCCGAGCATCGATTGGCGGACGGGTGACTGTCGAACCAAATGGAGTGGCGACTGGCGACGACTTACGAAGTGGAACAATCCAGATTCTGCGACAGTCAGCGCGGTTACCATCAAGCGAGCGATGATTCGCGGGGCACAACTGTACGCCGTCAGATGGATCGCATCCACGGCTGTCAGCGCACCGGCCGACATCGACAAACTCTGCGCGGCAGTCCTCGACGACTTGGCGACATTGATCCGCAAGCATGCCGACATCTTTCCGGACGACCTACCGCCAGGATTGCCACCCGAGCGAGACCACGACCATAAAATCCAGTTGGAGCTCGGCGCGCAACCGACGGTTCGGACACAGTGGAGGCTGACTCAGCCAGAGCTGGATGAACTTCGACGCCAGCTGGATTACCTGCTCGAGAAAGGTTTCGTTCGCCCCATTACTTCACCGTTCGCAGCTCCGATACTGTTCACCCCGAAGAAAGATGGCAGTCTACGAATGTGCATTGACTACCGCGCCTTGAACCGGGTTACCATCAAGTCTCGCTATCCTATTCAGCGTGCCGATGAACTCATCGACCAACTTCGTGGGGCAAAGTTCTTTTCGAAAATTGACCTACGAGGCGGTTACCACCAGATCCGTGTCAACGAAGCTGACTGCTACAAGACGGCGTTCCGAACCCGATACGGGAGTTACGAGTACACGGTCATGCCTTTTGGCTTAACCAACGCGCCTTCAACATTCCAGTTAACCATGAACAAAGTTTTTCGGCCGCTGCTGGATAAATGCGTCATTGTGTACCTCGACGACATCCTGATATACAGCACTACCCGGGAAGCACATTTGAAGGATTTGGAAGCAGTCTTCTCTCTCCTGCAGCAGCATCGACTCATCACCAAGGGTTCTAAGTGCGAGTTTCTAAAACAAGAACTGGAGTTTTTGGGACACGTTATTTCCATCGACGGTGTTAAAATCGACCAAAAAAAAATCGCGACCATACAAGACTGGAAGCTGTCGGCTAATCTCCGCGAACTTTAAAGTTCTCTAGGGTTTGTGAATTATGTTCGCCGATTCATACCGAACATGGCGGGGTTAACTTCCCCTCTCACGGATCTTCTGAAGAAAGGCACGTTTTATGAGTGGGGGGGAGAGCAGCAGGCTGCGTTCGACCAACTCAAACTTTTCCTCACAACACCTCCGGTTCTTCGCATTGCAGATCCTCACCGTCCGTTCGAACTCATCACCGACGCTAGTGACCTGGCTGTTGGCGCAGTACTGTTACAGGACTTCGGCGAAGGCCTTCAACCCATCGCCTACGAGTCACGAAAGCTGAATCCGGCCGAGCGAAATTATCCCGTCCACGATAAGGAGTTACTCGCCATCGTTCACGTGTTCAAGGTTTGGCGCTGCTACCTGACGGGTGCTGATGTGACAGTCCGAACAGACCACAAATCGCTACAGTTCATCCGCGCCCAACCGACACTCAAC